ATGACCTTCCACTTACCAGTCTGGCACTGTGCCACTGAGTTACATCTCTGGCCTTCCACAGTGGTGTTATCAGCTTAGAACCCACCAACACAGAGAAGGGTCCCTTTCTCCCCACAGCCTTACAAGCATTTGTTAATTGTCGGCAATCATTCCCTCTGGAGTGAGATGGAATCTCAGAGTTGCTTTCATTTGCATCTCTCAAATGGCTGGCGAGGCAGAGCATTTTCTCAGGTACTCATTGGCTGTGTGTATACTGTTATCTGAGAAGCATCTATTCATTTCAGATGTCCATATTTCTTTACTACACGAATGTGGTAAGATCATCAAATCAAAAAGATCTCAAGATGCAAGAGCCATCAGAATTGGCTCACACAACTTTTAAAAGTAAAATACTAGGAAAAAGACCACAGCCTTCCCAAGTGAATCTCACTTCATCTTTGTAACCCATTTTTGTTGACTTCACAATCGCCACTCTTCACTGACCCTGTTACTTACTCTGTAGCTATGTAGACGTGTGTGAGCTGGCAGCCTTCCATCTGGTGCACAAATGTGTAAGTGCTGGTTTTCTCCCCAGAAAAATAACTTTGCACAGTTAAGTGCACCTCTTTTTTTTTTCTGAACCAGGGATTTAACTCAGGCACTTGCACTTGCCAGGGAAGCGCTTATTCTACTGAGCCACCTCCCCGGCCCCTAAGTACATCTCTTAAGGTCAACTGAATATGCTTATGTCATATAAAATTAAATATAGTTTATAGAATATTTTATTTCTTAATCTTTTATTTACTTATTTTGTACAGGGTCTCGCTATGCAGTTTGGACTCATAGTGATGCTCCTGTTTCAGCCTCCCCAGTGCTAGGATTACTGGTGTACACCACCACAAACAGTTTTGGGGCCGGCACTGTGCACCCGAGTCTTCCAGGCTGGCATGGCATGCACTATCAAGAGATCGATCCCATGTCCTTGAGCTTCCCAGGTAGATGCTTAGAACATCAATCTATCTCCCCAGGCTTATAAAGTACTATTCATGTAGTGAAATGAGTCACAAACTTGCAATCATAACATCCTTGTTTTATCCCCAATTCTGTCATTGATTTGTGATGCCTGCTTACAGTAACATTTAGGAGTTGGATTTCCCTTTCTTCATGGAAGAGAACTTTTTTTAATATTCCTAAATTCTGTGCCATTTCTGATATATTCTGTAATCCTGTTGTATGTGGTCGTTAGTACATTAATATAAAAATTTCTTTTCCAGAAAATTAAAAAATCAATTTGTGATTTTAGAGAGAATTTGGCTGATCAGATAAAAAACAACCTATATCATGCACAAATAAAATAACTGGATTGCAGTTCTATAGGAACATGTTTTGTTTGCTAGGAAACAGCTATTTCTGATACTTGGAAATATCTGAAAATTTAATGAAAGGCCTCAAAAGGTCATTCATTTCTTCCTATTTCTGCAGCTGGTGTGACATTACATCAAATGACCTCCAGAGTCCTTTCCTATGCTGGGATTGTAAGACTTGTTAGTAAAAAACCTTTTCTGGTTACGAATCTTTCTTACATGACATTTTTCATGCCTTATAATGTAAAATAATGACCTTTCCACTTATAATAATTCATTTTTCTTAGTTCATATTTTCTCTTAGAAATAATATTCTCAAACTAATGATGCCATTTATTATTCCCACTGGTGAATTTCCCATCATCAGCTCATGTAATTACCACACAAGTTCCTGCTGTAACAAGACAGATTCTGGGATCACTGCCATCAAAATATACACCAAAAAAAAAAAAAACTAAACTAAAAAATGGGAACTCTCAAGGAGTGGGGAGGAGAAAGCAATTCTTTGGCTACTACATTTGAAAACACATGTAAATTTAAAATCATAATCTCTTCACATTAAAATAAATAAAGCGTTGTACAACAGCATGACATGCACTTTATAACACTTTTTAAAGGGTTAATGTTAGAAACAAAATTTCCTAAATAATATTCAAAAGGATGTTTGTTCTTCAGGTTTTCAAAGGTGCCTACTACCTAAACAAAAGGAGCTATTGTCTCAAAAATGCTGGTCAGAGGTAAGCAAATTTTTTTCTTTGGTTGGTTGGTTTGGTTTGGCTTAGTCTTTTGGTTTGGTTTGGTTCGGTTTGGTTTTATTTTAGACAAGGCCTCTCTCCATAGTCCAAGCTGGCCTGCAACTCCCTAGGCAATATGTGTGGGACGGCCTCAAATTTGAAATCCTTCTGTCTCAACCCCATGTGCTGTGAGATTACTGGTATATACCACCATGCCTGCTTTTAGAGGCAAGCAGTTTTAATTACTGAAAGATTTCTTGGAGTCTTTACTAAGGTAATGTGCACACTGGCTGGTGAGATGAGATACACTATCTATTATGATTTTCAAGTCCATTTATTCATAGATCTGTCTCTGCTTAACCCCAGAGCAACTCTCAGAGTTCTTCAAAACAAGATTAAACTGCTGTGAATATATAGAGTAAAAGGCAGGTCAAGGATATAGCTCAGTGGCACAACGCCTGCCTGGCAGGTACAAGGTCCTGAGTTTGATTCCCAGAAGAAAGAAAGTGGGAAGGGAGGGAGGGAAAAAGAAATCACAAGGTTGTAAAATAATAGAAAAATTAAAAGTCCTGTGTTCTTGAAGAGAAAAAAGGACTCTTTTTGGTGCTGGAGACCAAGGTGGAGGGGTGCAGGCAGGAGTAGCAGGACTCTCTGACACTGAGTGAGATGTCCAAAGAGTCCCTTAAGACAAGCAACTGGAAGCCTCTTGTGAAACTCTGACCTGACACTTCTCGAATTAAACATTTGTAGGCTAGAAGCATCAAATGGAAACGTGGCTGCTGTGACGCTACGGCGACCTCTTGTGGTCCCAGGTTATAATGGCCCTTTGAAACTTCACTGTGACCCCTTGAAAGCAGCAGTGTTGTTTCAGTAGCCTCCTACAGTTCTCTTCCAAATGTATCCGGTGTCATCTTCTGCCATGCTGGTTTGTTTGATTGTTTTTACACTGCCAGCAACTGAGCCCAGGTCATGCTCTCTCGATGGGTGACAGCGTTGCCACTATGCATGCCCCAGCCCAGGGCAGCCTTTCAGGGCAGATATGGAGATTTTTTTTTTTCTCATATGTCTCTGTAATGTCAATTTCTGCAAAAAAAAAAAAAAAAAACACTAATAAGTAGAAAAGATGATATGGACAGAACAAAATGTAGTAAAATACAGGGACAGTGATCCCCTTTCTCAGGTAATTATTCATTTTTATGCAAGCCAGTAGATAGAATTTGGATAAAAATACTAATGCCTAGTACCACAAAAATTATGACAAATTAAATGAGTTTTCAGGATGCAATCAGAAAATTTTAAACTATAAAATTCCATGGGACGTACAGCCCAATTTTTTAAAAATCAGAGGTAGGGCAGGGAAGAGGTAGCTAAAAGAAAATTAAAAGACATATAATCCAATTATCTCCTGATACAAACCATTAAAAAATAAACATTATGAAGCAATTAAGCTAATGTGAACATTAACTGGATTTTTTTCTTTTCTTTTTTTGTAGTTCTGGGGATTGAACCCAGGGCCTCAGACTGAACTACTTTCCAGCCCTATTTAAAGTGTTTAAAGTTTGAAACCATCTTACAAATTGCCTAACCTGGACCTGAGTTTGCGATCATCCTGCCTCAGTCCCCCAGGTAGCTGGGATTACAGGTTTGCAGCACAGTACCCAACTCCCTCATGATGGTATTATAAAAGCACCTTCATCTTTTAGAGCTACTGAAATATTTATGGATGAAATAATACACTTTGGGTTTACCCAAAAGTAATTCAGGCCAAAAGAAAGTAGGCAAAGTTATATATAGCTCCAGGTTGGCAAATTAGGGCCCAGAGTTCAGATCTGGCCAATGCATGTGTTTACAAACACCACTTCATTGGAACGCTGTCAGAGTATTATGTGTGAAGTCTGACAGCTTCCCCACCACTGTAGCCAAATGCTGTAATTTCAGCAGAGCCTCTCTGGCTTGCTGTGCCTCAAATACTGACTATTTCCCACCACACAGAGAAACCTGCTTGGCCCTGCTATGCCTGAATCAAGATGGGTCATAAGTGATCATCATTGAAGACAAGTATGGGAATTTTTAAGTAGCACTTATTTTTCTGTATGTTTGACACTTGCCATAATAAAATTGTTTGTTTGTTTAACAGGATGATGTTAGAAAAGGTCTTTGACTTGATTTTTTACTGTTTTAATGGTAGCCTGTGGGGTTGCAGGCAAGGTTATCTCTTTCACTTGCTGCCCCTAAGGCACTTCTGGGAGCTTTTCCAGGGAGACCAGGGCCTCCACCCGGCACCAGCTCAGAATTAGCAGCCCTCCACCTTCCGTTGCCACATCCCAGACACCCAGAGGACGGTGTTCAACCAGCAGCCTGGGTCACCTTGACTTCTTCACTGTGCTTTGAAGAGCCTGACACATCCAGAAAAAAGATATATGGCCAGAAAAATGGGCTGCATAGCCCCACGAGGATTGTCTCTATTCCTAAAAGAATAAGCTGATCTTCCAATGCTTCAAGGCTGATGACTGAGGCAAATGTGGTGACACACATGTGTACCCCAGCACCTGGAGCCTCAGGCAGGAGGATTACAAGGTCAAAGTCGGCTTGGGCTCATAGTGAGACTGTCTCAAAGAAAAAGCTTAAAATTGACAGAAAGTCACAATAAAAGCTATATATCCTATATGGAAATGCTCTATCAATAGATATAAACCTATGCTATTATGCTGCAAACCAAATACCCTACTACGTATTTGTTTACACATATCACACATGGTGTTTCCTAGCGCCATGCAGAATTAAAGATTCTATAAGAGGATCTGGAATTCGTGGTAGTGACATGATTCAGTGAATGCAGAGGGCGAGCACTGAGTATCGTTTGCTGCAAACTGCTGAGCACTGTGCGGAGAGGACCGGACAAGGCCTTCAGGGCAGAGTCCAGGGCTGTCTCTGCAGGCGCTGGAGGAAGAAGAGCAGCCTCCTGCTCCCTCTGTGGAGCCCTCAGTGCAAACCCTCACATATGTTCCACATTTTAAGAACTTCATCTCGCTTAGTCTTCATAGCCGCATTCTTGTTTCCGATTTTACTCATGAAAACGCTGGGCTCAGAGAAAGTAAGTAACAGAGTGTGCAGCTGTTCCATTGCAAAGCTGGCTCTTCTAAACATCGAAGTTCAATCACTGAAATGCACTTATGTTATTTTGTGTCTATCGTAAGGACCTATTCATAAAAATACTCCAGATCTTGTCACTGTATCAGGTTCCTCTCATCTCTCATGAGTCGGTTCTGTGTTTAGTCAACCTTGAAGCAGGACTGAGACATCTTTGCAGCTAGGTTTAAAGGAAGGGAAGGAGAAACACAGCCTGCCTCAGCCCTCGGTTCATAAGAGCAGACACTACAGGTGTCTGTCATGTTAAAGAACATTGTAGCTTCAATCTACCTAAAATAATGTGGTAAGTCATATAAAGTGTGAAAGCCTATTTGTATATTGTTTTTGCTCTACTTGATTAATAGAGTTATTTAGCTTATAGTATCAATATATATGATTGTTTTAATAAACATTAAGGAACTTTTGCTAAATTACAGATGTCATAATGGTTTATGATTTTTTTTTTCAGTACAAGGCCCTACAAGGTCTCACTACACAGATTGGACTCATAGTGATCCTCTAATTTTCAGCCTCCCAAGCACTGAGATTACAGGCACGTGCCACCAAGCCCAGTCTCAATCGCCATCTCAGAGTACCCTGGAGGCAGGGCCAGCATAGTATAGCAGGAATCGAACCCTGGTCCCTGCATCTGCCTAAGCAGTTGCTTTAGTCCACTGAGCTATCTGGCCGGCCCAAGTTTGTGATTTTTTAAAAAAGAATTCTTATCTTATAGAGAGAGATATTGAGGATTTACAAATAGAATTATACAGTGTCCACTATATGCGTCAAGAAAGTCCAGTATGAGAAAGGATATTTTATTTATTTATTTATTTATTTAGTTAGTTAGTTAGTTACCTTTTGTTGGAACCAGGGATTGAACTCAGGACCTTGTGCTTGCCAAGCAAGCCCTTACTCCACTGAGCTATCTCCTAACGCCCTGATAAAGGGTAATAAAAAAAAAGCATTATCAAAATGTATCATTTCTAAAGATGAATAACAGGTACTCCTACTATTTTGTAAATAACAAAATTTCCATGACATAAGATTTTACAGGACTTCCGGGAACCCCCAGACCCAGTCCT